TTTTTTCAAGGAGTCCAAGGTTTCACCAAAATAAATTATTTTGCCATCAGCAACAGAGCATGCTGATGGGATCAAGAAATCCTGGTACTACTGAAAAAAATCAGTGGCAATGATCAGCCATTGCCAGACACTTTGACTACAGCAGACTATATTCTCCAGGGGTGGATTCATGATGTTTTAAAAAAATCTGTCTTTTGTTTTGTTCATTTAAATTATTTTAATGCCATTTAAAAAAATCAACCTAAAAGAAATCAGTCTGAATTTCAAAAATGGCTAACATAAGATTTCATGTTATCAAGGGACAGTGCTAGAAACTGGATGTAGCAGAAAAGAAGGGAAGACATGAGATCATCATCTCTACAAATGAAGCCATGCAGTCCACAGTCACGTAGAGGTCAGTCAGTTTTGTATGTTTTTCAGTGACAATTTCTAGAACACATTTTTGCCCACTGATTCATGGAAAACTAAGAACATAACAAATAAGTGAAGCAATGAAGTAGCTTCTTGCTACTGAAGCAGGATGAAATAGCTTAAGTTTTGAATTTTAGAAGGACTTGCAACCCTGCAGTTTAAACTGGCTTAAGTTAAGCTGCCCGTTCATGCCATTCCTCTTCCTGTCCTTCCTGCTGGCCTATGTGTAGGTCTGTCAGGTGAATCAGACCAGTGCATGGATCTGGCTGAATCATTCTTTTCCCTGCATTACTTTTCAACTGGATCCAGTACCCGGGTCTGATTAACTTCACAGCTTTGAACACTTGCAGAACTGAGAGACTAGGGAAGAGTGGCCAAAGGGAGAGACTGCTTACAGTAAACGCGGCTGTCAACAGGAATTTTCATTAAGCCACGGCCAGCACAGCCCTGGCTCTAGCTTCTTGGGCACTTATTGTTGGTACCACTTCTTGGGAATAGCCTTCTGGGATATAGCTACCCCAGGTAAACCTGGCATAAAATTCCTCAAGTTCCTTCAGCAATTTATGAGTATCTCTCCAGAGTTTCAATTCTGTATCTCAGACACCAGGGACATTTAAGAACTGAAGGAAGTACTTTGCAGCCTCTAGAGGCATTGTAAAACCATTTACATAGAGTGATGGATTCTTACAAAAAATATGCTTGTATTCCTTTCCTCTCCTCAGTGATCTCACCATTCTTGAGCTTTTCCTGGTCTTGATCAATGTTTTCAGGGATCATAGGTATTCCTCCAAAGCACTTCACAACTGGCTCAGCTTTCTCTTCCTTCTCACTAAATCTCTAAATGCTAGAATATGTGGTCTGTCAGTTAAAAGATCTGTCCGGAAAAATGTGCTTTCATTACACCTCCCTGTGAAAGTGTCCATTATGATTTTCACATCTTTGTCTTGTCTCCTTTGGAGGCTCCAGGCTCTGCAACAGCATGGGGAAAATGGTTCCCTGTGACTGAAGCCATTTTTATTGTTCATGCCAGCAGCTCTTCTAGAGTCTACTGTGGCTTTTTACCCTTATAACCTGGATGTATATGACACAATGGTAGATACAGCATACACTGAAACTTTTAATGATGCACAGTTTTATAAAAGTAATCAGTGTTATACAAAGTGCCTAAAATTTGCACACACATTGATTTTATGTATTATAGTAGTATATAGGCATATTAATACACTCAATTTTGAAATAGGTGTATAAGCATAAATTAAAAGGTACATATGCACTTATTTTAATTAGTGTTGAACTAAATAATATCTGATAAAAGAAGGAATAAAATACTGGCAATAGCATTTTTTTTTCTGTAGCCCTTTATAGCCCTTACATGACACTCTTCTCTCACTGAATGCCTTAAAAGCTTGAACATACTGTTGCAATGTCCTGTAAAGTGTTACTGCTCCAGTTCTGCAGATTGGGAAATGAGTTACTTAGAGGTGAAGTAGTATACTGAAGACTTACAAAGCAGGTAAGAGACTTGACACAAGGTCTCAAATTCAGGCTCTAAGCATTCACCTATGCTTTCTAGAGAAAAGACTAGCTGTGACACAGAAAAACTGGCTCCTACTTGAGAGAATCAGTAGGAAGAACCCCATCTTGAATGTTTGGATATCATGTATGATTTTAGGAACAGCTTTTGTAGATAATATGCAGATTTCAGCTGGACACTTTCTGGTTTTGCCCCTGAGCATGGTAGAGAGAAAAATCTGAAGTGTGCTTATGTCCCCAGCTGAACAATGAGCATGAAGGTTGGTTTGGATAGTATGTGATGATCTTGAGATTGGTTTTCATTTGTAATTTATGTTAGGATTTCAACCCACATTAACAGATTGAAATTAATTAAGTTACACTAGTTTGCACTACCTTGTGTAACAAGTCCATAGAGCAGGATATTACAATAGAGTGCTTCCTTAGGACATGATTTGTAAACCACTTGAAGTGGGATGAATCTGAATTTATCACTGGTGCACTGCAAATAGAAGATAACAATGTACATGTACATACATTTTTTTTAGTACTTTCTGAAAGGAGTTCTGTGCTTGTGATGTGCCTTGTTCTGATTTTATACACTAAGTACAATGGTACAGACAACAATTCCTTTCTACTACCTGGATAAAGATGTGTTAGAACAGATGGCTCAAAACACTTTTTCTGAAGTGTTGAATATGGGTAATATATTTACGTACCCATGGAGTTCTTGGTCTGTTTTCTAGCAGTGGTGTCGATAGTGATTTCTGCAATAAGGATCTGTCTGTTAGTCTTCAAATTGGACAGTATCTTAGACTCAGAGACAGAAGGTATTAAGAACTTTGACAAAAAATTCATATGGGCCACACCAACTTTGGAATTGAAGTCTCATTTTCAAAAGTGACTTAGTGGCTTGAATCCTACTGCTGTGCAGGAAGATGTAAACTCCAAAGGCACAGAACCTTAACTTCCAGCTTCTGTTAACTTTATAACCATATTGACCATATTCTTCTACTCAGTGCTCACTGATCAAGGTGATCCATAATGGAGCCCTTGTGCAAGAGATTACAGTTGGTAATAGTGATAATAACGTGAAAAGCCTTGAAGCCCATTATCATTCCACTGAACTATTTTGCTCTCCAAATGCATACACATATTACTTTGCCTTGATTTTGCTTTATACATGCCATACAAATATCTTTGAATGGCTTATTCCAAGGAGTGTCTTTATTAACATCTTTTCAGTTTTCAGTTATCAAGGGTGAGGTTCTGTGCCATATGCCTTGTTACCCCGGCGGCTGTTTACATTCATCTATGTCAAAGGTCTGGCTTCTATGACCAGCTGTAAACCATTAGTCCAACTATTTGACCCAAATTTAACAAAGTTGGAGACTGAATTAAATTCTCCAGACTTTCTAAGTAAGGCAACAGCAGGGCTGATTCTGGAAAGCACAATTTAACACAATTTAGCACATACTTTGATAAAACCAAATGCCATTCTTTTCAATGGATGGATACAGTCGTTGCTTGGAGTACTTAGTCTCAGATTTGCCCTAAGTATTAGGTTTGAGCACACTTTATGAGTAGCTAGTGGACAATACAGAAGACAAAGGGATTTCTTTATCGTTGCACTTGCCTCAACCTGTTCCTTTAGAAAAATGATTTTATTAATTTTTTATGAGACCTGACAACAAATTGCAGGCAATATTATGAATAAGCCTTTGGAAAATGTTATTCTTTATCCCTAATATGACTTCTAAAAGATGTTATTTATTTCATTTATAGAAATGTAAATGCTAATGCATTGACAACCACACTTTTCCTGTTCAGTTAGAAATTTCTTAGATTCACATTGCAGACTAGCTTAGAGAGTGTTTGCCTCTGTCATGCATTACTGCTTTGATACACAATGCTACTCATTTCTCTTCAGTCTATATTATACAGGCCACCATGTCCCCAGTTATTTTCACAGTACTACATTAAGTGCAAATAACAAGGCCAACTTTTAGGTTGCAATAACTGAGTGGAGTTATAACCAGAAAAATACAAAATGTAGTACCCCTGTAGCTATTGAATTTGTCTGTTATTTATGCTCAGTATACCAAATCCACAAATGTACAACAGAATCATTAGCTGCAGAATCATTAGCACCATGAATTACACATTTTTTTATGCATACATTGTTTTCCTGTTTGTTTTAATACCAGAGCCATTACCAATTAGAATTCTCATTCAGATGATCCCAGCAATAGGTGGCATCATCAGTCCATGTCCTAGTCAGCTCATGCAGGGAGACTGGCAGAAATGTTCCTGATGCTGGGTGAAAATATTAACTACTGTGTAGCACATTTAAAAAATAGATAGTAACAAATGAATTATTCATTTAAAACATTCAGCTAGACCTATGCAACATAAGGAAAGTGGGGTTTAATTACCTTATATGAAAATTTTTGTAAAAGCAAATGCATTCAGAAGCCATTTTACATTAAAATCTCACCAAATCAATGTCAAGTTTCAAATGTCTATTTTTAATGTTTTTCTTCCAGTCACACAATTGTGCTGGCCCTGGAGTAAACAGTAAAACACATTTACCTGACATGAGTTATCCCACTGGAATAATTTGTGCTAATAAAGTTTAGCACACGTCAAGGGCTGCAGGCTTAGGTCAAAAGCATGGAAAATTTCCAGCATCAGAAACAAAAGAACGTGTTCATGGAATGAAAAATGGGAAATGTTTTATCGTTTCAAGTAAACAGAGACACACCTAGTCTTGTATAAGATGGAGATCTGAGTCTAAAAACTTTTTTTTTTAGACTGTGCCCAAGCCTCAGGAGAGATTTACCTTGTAAATATCCCTGCAATTCTGCTTGCCCAATTGTCTAAGTTCAAGACCTGGTAGGAATACACGGTTTCTGTCTGGCTCGTGTGCCAAGGCCCCTGTTCTGCAGAGTGAAACATAGGATGCAGGCGATAAGGAGGAATGGGATAAATATTCCAGTTGTGTCCTGGTATAATACTGAGATTTAACAAAGGAACAAGCATGGCTGTGGGAAGCAGAAAGCATTCCTGGGTTCTGTGGTATAATAATTTATTTAGTTTCTGTCATCCGGAGCAATGATTTGTGATTGCTTTTGCCTGTGAAAGAATTCCAATTGAGGCAATGAAGTCCTTGGATTTTAAAAGCTCTGAAGTCAGAAGAAAGAAATGATCAAATACCAGAACACTGAATAGATTAAAGGGTAAAATGAATGTTTCCACCTTCTGTCTTAGAAAAGGTCCAAATTGCATTAAGTATCCCATACTCCTGAAGTTGAAATGAAATGTGAAAAAGAAACTATGAAAACAGATCTTGTGAGTGAACATTTCATGGCTTTGAGCATATTTACATATATAGACAGGAAATGTCCATATTTGATCTACAGTCTGGAAGTCATGCTGGTTTGATTGGTTTGTGTGTTAGCTTCCCAACCACATCTGATCTTTTTTATCCTCTTTCGAAAACATGGGAGGAGCAGTATGCATTTACAAAGCAGAACTACAATAGGAAGAAAAACTGCTAGCATAAATGAAGGTGGTGTATACCAGATAAATTGATTAACATCAACCCACTTGTTCCAAGCGAACACCAGTGTGTGAACAGTGCATAGCAGCAGAGCTAAATATCCCATCTTGCTCTGAAAAGAGAAGGAAAAATAGTAAGCTATTTATTTTTTTCCAGCTTGGCAAAAAGAGTACTTTCTTAAGCAAATATGGAAATCAGGAGGGGCCTCAACCAACACACCTAAGTCAAAGAAAAAAGGCCACTGGCTCTGAACTAAAATTGAAGAACTATAATTCAATAATCCAACTGTACCCCTCTATGCCCCATAACATAAAACAGATGAGGTACCTTTTTTCAAGTATTGCTATGATATTAACTAATAAACAGGAGAGATTACAGACTACAGGCTATTCCTGAAAAATGGTCTATTCGCAATATTTCAATTTACAGATGTCATCTGTATCCTAAATTACTTTATTTCTATTGTAAATTATTATGAGTTCAAAAGCAGATTTATAAATGGCTTAACTGATTATTTGCAAAGAAAAATATTAAGGTCAATTAAAATCAGAAACTCTAGTAAGTCTAGTACTATGACAAAAGCAATTACATAACTACAGGAAACTGAAGTCTTTCATCCACTTACAGTGATAAATTTGGCTTAGGATGTCTATGAAATTCAGGAGCAAAGGAAATTTTATGCTAGAGTCACTAGTAATTTTGAGTTTGTTGTTGCATAACAATCTTGATATTATTGGAAAAATTGAATTACTCATCAGTGAAGTAAAACACTGCCTTTCCAACTGCTAAGTCTACAGAATCTGATTTTCAAGTATAAAGGTTACTTGTTTATAAAACGAACACAATATAGTAGTTGTACTCTTCTGGGTTTCTTCACCATAATAATTTAATACTGAGAGCAGTCATGCACTCGGAGCAGTCATGCACTCGGAGACTCCCTCCTAGGCCTGTCCATACATATTCTCTGTACAGCTGAAAACTTTTCTTACAAATGATGTACTTCATAAAGCTGGCAGAATCTCAAATCACTAATTGTAGGAAGACATACATTTCAGATGTACTTTTCAAATTCAGATCAAATTTTCAAATGCAAGGTACTTCGTAGGTTATTGACTTTTCAGATTTTGGTGTTCAGGGACCTAATTCAACACTTGCTTAACTCTAGTGTGATCATACTGATGTCAACAGAACCACTCCCGATTATTACTGCATATGATACAGGAGAACTAGGAGCAAAACAGTTACTTAAGTGAACGAAATTAGCACGTCTGTAGCAAACTCAGGACTGGCTGGATTTGATTATGCATCTGTTCTAAGATGTCTGCTTTTCAGAATGCACCTTTTTGGAGGGGGTTATGAAGCTAATAATGCTGCAGATAGAAAACCTTTGTGTGTATTTCTTGGACTTTCCAGCCACCTGGTACTGCTCAGGCAGTAACGAATTGCCAAAACAACTCCAAGGGAGCAACAAGCAATTCTCCTTATGTAGTGTGTTGTATGGGAACAGTGTTCTCTGGTTCAATACCACCTACTCCAAATTCAGACAGGGCCTTCCTGAAACATAAGATGCCCAGAAGATGACTGAAATTCCTTCAACACTAGAGGTCTTTGACCTAAGAATAGGTTCTGAAGGGACAACTGCTGCTGATCATGAAGTCAGAAGAGCAAAAAAAGTGGTTTGGAGTTGTCTTTCTTTCCGCTTTACACCCTGAAACTGACAGCCTTTTCACCTGACAAAGTAACAAATTAAATGAACATTTCTTGCAAAGCAATTAACAAAGAGTATGCAACAAACTTTTAGATTGGTTTCACTAACTCCTCTGTGTTTGATATTTCTAACTCCTAATGGCCCTAGCTGATAACATACAGTCCTACAAACGAGGACTAATGGCATGCAATAATGACATTTAGGCATACCTGAATGTAGTGGAACTCTCTCCAGGTCAAAGAGTGACTGACAGATGGAATTGATGTTATTGCCAACAAGGCCAGCAAAGCAAGTCCCAGAATTCCGAGAGACACATAAATCTCCATTCTCCAAACATCATGTTCAATCCAGGCATTTTCTTTTTTTTGTTTGACCTGCCAAAAGAACACCATATTTAAAATGACAGACTGGCACACTTAGCTGTTTGCGTGAAATACAGCTATTTTCACCATAATATCAGGAAGTAAGCCAAGAAACACAGTATTTTTGTTTGTTTGAATGTCTTTGAATGTAACAGCTATTTACTTCTCATGACAAAGTCTACACTAGTATCTGCAGAGCAAAGGTGGTCTTTAAGTCAGAAGAATTTAGACTTCATCAGTGTCTTGGCCCAGGAGAGACTGGTTACGTTGGCCTGTGAACTGCCTTCACAGTAAGACAAAACTTATTCTTTGACAAAAAAAATTTCCCATCTATAGCTAAATACCATATCTGTGAGATTATAGCAACAGGAAATATATTAACAGCACTATTTTAGGGAGCTAATTCAGCAGTCATTCTTAATGGTGGTGTCCTGCCAGGATAGTTGTTTAGCTTATTTTTTAAAAACAACAGCTTGGTACATTCAGCTGCACGGAATATACCGGTTGGTATGGATGAGAAGTTTGCGATTTTAATAAACTGATACCAAAGTTTCTCCTAGTTATGACTACTTGCAACAGCCCTTTGATGCTGCTAGTGATGACCATGGTGTAATATGCCTCAAATATGATCATTTCTTCATCTTGAGGACTGAAATATCAAGGAAATTTCTGGCAATCCATTCAAGTCAGATTACTGGTAAGGCTGATTTCAGACTTTTCAACAGGTAGTTCGACTGTTTACAGTTCAACTGTTTGAAGCTGCTAATATCATACTGTGATTTAATAAAACTCTAGATTAGACTTTGAGGGTAATAAAAATATACATTTACAGCCTATACCTTATATTGGAATATTCCTCATACTGCAGTACTCACAGTACTCAAAGTGATATGCAAGTATTAGGAACTTTGTAGTCACAGAGGATCTTTGCAAGCCAATTATTGCCCATGACTCAGAAGTGTGATTGAAATTCTATTTTTTAACAAATTAGTGTGCATCAGCCCAATTGTGATGCCATCAGTGTTCACAAATTTGGTTTGTGGCAAATACAGATTATTGTGATTTAGTTCTACCATCCTTCATTGCTGGCTAATTGACTTTACAAAGAAGATGACTAAAAATGGTGCGTGCTCAGTTTTTGTAGATAGATTCCTCTGGTGCAGAGAAGATTAATCCACACTAAACTAATAGTATGCTACAGACTGAAATGCTCCTGTGAGGCAGGTATAATTATGTGCATTTTGCAGAAAGACAGAAAATCCCAAATGAAGAAAAATGACTTAATACACACTGGCACAGCTGTGATTATTCTTGACTCTCTATTACATGCTTTAACAATAGGTCCTGCTCCATCCCTTAACAGTGCTCTGTGGAGATCTGCTTCACGATCAAAGGAAGGCAATGGAAATGGCTTTCCCCCCTGCTCCAGACCTGCTTGAATGACCAAACCAAGGATTTTCTGAATACAGAAGGGTTGGTGTTTGTGTGCCCATCATACCTGCTGGAATGCCCAGTTCAGTAGCTTGTATCTGTACGATCTTCTCATTGGATAGCATAGGCTGTAGCAGGCGTGCATTGTAGCGAAGAAGAAACTGAGAAGTCCAAATTGCTTTCTTGATAACATCCATCTATCCAGCCACTGGGGAAACCTTTTATACTTGGTGCCAAAGTACAGCTGGAAACCAGCAGCTAATATTCCTGGTAAATATACTAGTGCTAAAAGGGTAATTGAAACCACTGGTAAAACTTTGTTTATGACAAGGATTGGAATTTTATAGAAAACATTTTCCTTTCTGGTTATAAAAGGATAGATGACATCTCTCATAGAAGTGTAAATAAATGTTAATAACAAGATCACCAATGCTATCTTCATTGGCAAGTGCCACTTGGGGAACAGACCCTGCTTGCAGTGTTGTTCTGAAGAGTGTTCAAGCTCACCAAAATGGTGTGCTTGATGTAAATTAAAAAGTGCAGCTGCTTCTGGTGGATTGGTGGCCTGCATATCCACATTCTGGAAAGGACAGAAAGGAAATAGCAAGTGAGTTCAAGAGAAGGCTGAAAACTTCAGTAATGACAATATTTGCCATCATGGCTTTTACACCATACTGCACTGAAACCATATACAAAACATACACACCATTAAAGACAACATAGCTTGAAAACATAACATTTCAAACAGCATGGCATCGAACAAGGCACTTTTAACATAGACTTCTCATTCTTCATTCATTATTTGTGGTGATTTCAAAAGAGATTTTAATTCCAGTAAGTTAACTACACCGCAAGGGAATACGTTATGTGAAGCATCATTACAGCTTCTTACGATATGAGCTACAGATTTCAAATTTCAGCTACAGACTTAATGATGTAGCCCAGATAATATGCACAATAACAGAATCCAGAGTCAAGACAATAAAATATTTCATTCAGTCACTGCTATTTTAATGACAATTAATTGGGGAAATAAGGATGTAAGTAGAAAAGTTTGGGATCCAGTATTACACCAGCTGCACATCTGTCAACTCCAGTGTCAAGTCCCATGGTCTTCTTCCTCTCCTTCACAAACGTAATAGTATCTTCTTAACTTTTACAAAACCTTGTGAAACTGAGTCACTTCAGTTTAAAAAGCTGAGTTCTCTGCTGTCAAGTAGCCATGGCTTGATTCTAGTCTCACAGAAGATCTTTGCAGAATTATCACAGACTTTAGAAGGAGCTAAGCTAATACAACATTTTAATGTAACATTATAAACTGTTTTACACTAATATAATATATTAAAGATTGTCCCATAGTTGTAGTCCATGGAAGAGGTACATGATCAGTATACATACAATATGAAAATACGTGTACCAACAGCAGGACATTGTACTTGATGCAGCAGACAGCTGACCAGGGTGGAGAACTGAAAACTGATAATGTTAGGTAATAAACATGTAAGTCCTTTAATATTCCTGTGAAATATAAGGTAAAACTGAACTAATGCTGCAGTGGCTCAGCTTTAGAATGGCTGATGTTGCAGATGTCCAGACCTCCAGAAAGTGAAATGGCACTTTCTGTTTTGAGGAAGGCAGATATTAGTAGCTTTAAAGTTGTAAGTTAGCATTCTGCTAGGATACAGATCTTCCTATCTCAGTAGTATTATCTTTCTTTATTCTTAAGAATCAAATATATTGAAACTGATTAAGGGGTCAATTCAAACAAAGTACTACTTGTAAATAATACAAGGGTAAGTAGGTGCAAGTCTTGTGTTCATCTTCAATGATACATAGGTGTTCTGTTTTAACAGAAAAATAAAAAATACACACTTCTATCTTGCTGTAAAATCCCAATTAAAAACAAGGTAGTCTGTTTCCCACCACATGTCTGACTGACTTGCCTACAGCGCTTCACATTAAAATTAAGGGGATGGTCTTCATTAGGATTTTTTAGATGAATAGCTACTACATGTCTATCTGATGATAAAAGTACATCTTTGTAATAGTGAAGGTGTAGCCTAAGTAACTTTTATTCTCTAGTCTGTGAAGTAGAGTGTAGTCTATGCATTGCAGAATCAGAAGTTGGTATAAATTACACAAACCAAGATTCACATCTGAACCAAGCTTCACCTAGAGATACCTGTTTCTTGAAGAGACACTTCGCAAAGCCCAAGTCAGTATTTCACAGCCTGTGAGACAGTTCACATTAGAATAGAAAGTTGTAGCTTGAACTACTGCGTATCAACAGTTGCAGAGGCAAATGCTGTTGGAGTGAATTTTTTTTCTGGACTTTTTTGTGTGATGTGGAAAACTTACTGACTGCGATGTGGCAATTATGAAGACGCCTCCAAAGATAGATTTTATATTCCTGTATAAAAATCACAAATTATTTCTCTAAAGCTTTGCTCATCTGGTAAAATGCAGTTAGCAACTAACTCATGTGGTTTTTAGCTGGCCCAAACTTTGTGTATTTTTTTTCATGGACTGTGATTAAATTGAATGAGGTGCTTTTTATCTCTTCATGTCAATATTGTGACAAGACTTAAGAAGTACTGATGATATGCCAGTGTGATGGGAACACTGTTTCTGGACAAAATCAAATGAAAGACTGCAATATTCTATGTGACATATTAGCTGCTTTTTTACAGAAACATTACCAAATTGCCAAGGTTTCCTGTATTTCTTCTTGGCATGATGCTCTGACCTGCATTCTGATCAATGGCATGATTATCACCTTCCCTCTTCCCCATTGCAGACACTCCCTGCAAAACAAACACAGGATGTAAAGCAGGTTTTGAAATGCCCTACTGGAACTTTGAGGCCTATTTTCCCTCAAAATGTTTTCTTCCCTCTCCCCCACCCATTTGCTGGAGAAGGTACGATAACCTAGGGAAAGGAAAGTCTGTTCTCTGAGAACAGAAAAGCTTAGCTTGTTTTTTAAATAAAGCAGAGGCTAAGAAAGGATATGAATCAACAACAAAATCACTGACGAAATTTAAGCTAAATGCCCATGTAATCAGTGGAATTAATGCATTAATTCAGGCTGAAAGCTTCTAAATTGCAACAAATAAGTTTGAAAGAGCTTACAGAAATAACATATAAAAATGGATAAGTTCATGAAACTTGCTGATGCAAGAAGCCCATGCAAATGTGTTCTTCCTAATATTTTTTAGGTTTTAGGATTTAGGTTTTGGGATTGGTCTACGTGACAGTCACTTTCTGCCTTTAGAGGTATATTCTCCCTTCAAGATTGTCAGGTAACTCCATCTGGAGCTTCACTCACGCTGTTCCAAGGTACACTGGCAATACTCATCATCCACAAGTACCAGCAGCAATGATTCTAAGCTACCGAGGACTACAAGAAATCAAAAGCCAGAAAAAAAAGAGAATGGATAAACCGAAAGAGATGTTACTGAAGACCCTAGGATAGCAGGAGAGACAGTATCTGCAAGGCTGTAAAATAACTACAAGGACTGCAGGAACCCTGCAACAAGGACTTCCCATGTGTGCATCACCCTGTCCCAGCTGCAGGAGGAGAGGCACTAGCACCATGTCACTAGAAGCTCAATGTGCGATACCACAGTGTGACTTTCTGTGACTACCTTTAAGAGAGTGAGTAGGTAGCTCTTCCATTTAACTTTCTACTGAACAGCTGAATTACTAGATATGAAACTGCTTTGCTAACTACTGATTCTTTTATATCCATAAACCTTTTGGAAAATTGTATGGACAAATCAGACTTTGACAGTTGTCTTTTTTTTATTTATTTTTTTTTTAATCCGTGTCTGATTCCTTCAGTGGATGAGTCCTACAGTCTCGTACTATCTGCTGTAAGGGTTTGCATTCTGCCAGGCCACCAGAATCCTGAAGCAGAAGTATTCTTTTCCTAAGTATTTCTCTTTGGATTTTTCCCTCCTGCTAGCAAGCTCTCCCTTTGGGCATAACCTTTCAGCCAAGTGTTGGCAGAGTAGGGTCAACAAGAGCTTCTGTCTGAAGGTCAGGCCGTTAACCCTTTCCTACACCAGCTAATGGATGGTTTGTCTATCTTGCACACAAGAAAGCATGGGCTGATGAAGGCACATTTCTATTTTTTCCCCCTATTCCTAGGGCTAGTCCTACTGATTTTATCACAAGTTTCAGTGTATCAGATTATCTTCATAAAACCTCAGCTCCTGCAGTCCCATAATTAGTTAAGAATTTCTACTTCTGTATGTTTTAATATTTCTAGCTGTTACAATGGCAAAGAATAGTTCACAAAAAGAACTCAGTATAATGTACTTACCTGGAAAAAATGATAACAAGTACAGTGAGCTCCAGGTCTATTTTTAAAAGAACTCAGAATACGAAGGGCAGTCACACTGTTTTTGAGGCCTACCCTCAGATTTTTAAAGTTTGATTTTTAAAAAAAAAAAAAAGGGATGTAAACTTATAGACTGACTTTTTACTCTTTTAGGTAGTGAGACTGACTTCTTAAAATTGTTAAAACACCTTATGCTCAGATCTGCTATGCTTTTAAATTTTTTTTCCTGTACTGATCTCTGCTGAGCTTTCAACTGTTAATATCACCAGTCTGCATGAGCTTACACAGTGATCCCAGCCACTTCATAACTCCCCTGTTCTGATGACCACACTATCTTAGGGGTCTAACAGCATATTTTAGATTGGAAAGCTCTGCATAGAAGAGCTCAACTCACCTGATTCTTATGCTGCTATCACTCTTCATTTAGAAAATTTAGAAATGAAGAGTCCAGTAATAGCTTCTAGATAAAAGTTTGTATTGATGAGGATGTAGTAAATTATATCATGATGTGAAAAAAAAAATCCACGAGCTTAAATTGCCAGTTGCTGATCCTAAAAGATGATTTATTGGTTCTTTTGGGAAACAGTGTTTAATACAATGTTAAATACAGTGTTAATGGTTTATGCAGCAGAAGACAAAATGGAAAGAAAAAAGAAAATGTGTGTGAATGAATGCATGTGCTCATCCATGGAAATATGAGTTACAGCCATGCAACTGCATGCAAGGAAACACAGATGCCGAACCATAACGGTCCCCTTGGCTTCTGATACCAGAGTCAACATTAAATTATTTCTTGTGTACACTCAATAACAAAGCACAGTAATAGTCTTGGAAAACCCTAAATAGAAGACACTTATAATTCTATTATATTATATATATTCCAGTGTCTTATGAATTGCCAGAAAGGCGTTATCTATAGCATATGTCTGTTTAGAATACAAGTGAAAAATTTAGGAGTCCTGTGAGAGACAGAAACTGATCAGTTACAGCTCCATCTAAGTCACAACTGTTACGAAAGAGAACAGTTGTAGTAATGTCCATCCTCAGTGCACAGCCCTTCTGCTCTGGGAGGCAGCTGAGAATGAGGATGGAGGATGTCCAGCTGTAGAAAGCCAAGCTTCCAGCCCTCTGAGTACCTTACTGCATTTTGTAGCGAGAAAACAGGCTCACGGTAATGCTGACCCAACAGGGATCCACCCTGCGCAGACACTACCCCGAGAAAACGTCAGCCAATGTCAATGAGAGGTTTTCCTGAGTAAGGGGTTTCAGGGCTGTCTCCACGAAAAAAATAAAAATGGCTAAAATAAACAAGCTGTGATAATAACGGTGGAAGAGGCACGGGACAGTGGCGACACATCTCCCCTTTGGCACCGTCGGGAAATGCCAGGGTGAGCGCGTTCGGGATAACTGAAGCGCCTGCTGCATCGTGCAGAGCGGTGTGAGCGCTCGGGACACGAGTAAATAACTTTCCCTGCTCTTCAAAAGTTCTGCTGAGCTCTTGGAAAACCTCATCAGAACCCGGGGGCTGGAGCAGGAGCGCGTCGCTCGGCGCTTCTCCTCGGTTGGACGCGCCCGGGGCGCACCGC